AAGCCAGCAGTAGGGAAAGTTGAGAGCCAACCCAATCATACTTCTGAAATTTTGAAAGGCTCAGAAACTGGTGGCACCAGGTAATTCTAAAAGGAGGAGTTGAGAGGGGCTAAAATAAGGAGGATTGACTGAAAGTGGTTTAAGAAGCAGTTATTTCCCCATTCCAGGCTGCTGGGTGACTGCCCCTTCTATACTGCCAACGGAAGAGGAGGTATATTTTCTGGAAAGGGTTAAATCAAGGGACAACAGGCACAGCTGAAATCAGAGGCTGCACCAAAGGCAGGCTGGAGGGACTAGGTGAACCGATGGACACTGAGGGCTGAGCCTCGCCACCCACACCCTACCCACACCACTCAGCCCTCTTCACCTCCAATCAGCCTTTTCTCTTCCATAATTACATTTCTGCAAACAACAGAGAATTACCAGATATATCTGAGGAAAGCTTTTAATGTGACAGGTACCAAAACTAACAGAAAAAAAGCAACATGAAGAAAGCAGACTATGTGAAGAGAAGAAAAGTTAAACTATAATTAATATTTTCAAATAATTTTTAGAAGATACTGCAGTCACGAAACAGGAGTAAGATGCTCTAAAAAGAAATATTCAGGGAATTACCACCAACAGCAGCATAAATGAAAGGAACAATAAAAGGGTTCGAATTGAAAGTTGAGAAAATTTCAAAGAAAGTAGAAAACAGTAAGAGAGGGAGAGCAGGAAAGAAAAAGACACGAAAATGAGAAGATGAGTTCAGGAGAGTCAACCTCCACACCATGAGTTTCAGAGAAAGAGGACAGATAAAAATGGAGGTAAGGAAATAATCAGTGGAAGTTCCCAAGAACCTTTCCAAGAACTGAAGAACTTGGCTCTTCCAAATCGAAATTACCCATTGAATCGTTCAAGTTCTCAAACATTGACCTTCCATGCACTTTTCTTCAAGAAGATACTTGAGGAAGTAGATGAAGGAAGGAAGACAAAGGACAGAGGAAACAAGAGATGGAACACAGCAGAAGGGCCAAAGCAAGGCTGGAATGGTAGTGAAGATGTGTATCAGCAGTGCATGGAGCATAGAGGGCATTCAGTCCAGGCTAAGGCAAGTCAGGAGACACAGGAGAGATTTCCTCATGAGGCTGATAGAACACCGGATGTGAGGGACTGTATTGAAAGGAGAAATTGACAACTGGATTTCGAGATTGAAATCTTAGCAAATGAGGAGGGAAAAATACAATTATAAACTCCAGAGAGGGGAAAAAAATTTTCCATGAGAGAAAAATCAATCCTGGTTTACTACATGGCTCAGTTCTATTTCAGGGTTATAATAAAATTGACAATGAGTAGTGACCTTACCAAATGATAATATAGCTATATGAGGAAGACAGTGGTGATGGGTGGCTAAGGAGCGTGGTTTATGCGGTGTGGGGAGAGAATAGAGAGAAAAGTAAAAAATGCCTCTCTTCCATAGTGAGGGTCATCAGATTTTGTCTAAAACTGAAAAATCAAGGAGTAATAGTACAAGCCTGTTATGGAAAAATGGAATAATTGCCAGAAGAATCAGCTAAAAGAACTGACAATAGTAGTTTCTGAGGAAGGAGAAAGATTTGGGCAGATGGGCTGGGGACTACTGTTTGTCCTAACTGGTCTTATAAAACTCAGTGGCTCTTTAAACTATATATATGTAAAACTTCTTTTAAAAAATATTTTTAAAAGGCCATTACACTCTCTCAAATGGAATGAGAACACTTTTGATGATAACAGCTTTATTGAGATACAATTCCCATACTGTACAATTCACCCAGTGGGTTTTAGTATATTCATGGAGGAGTGCAACCATCACCACAATCAGTTCTAGAATATTTCATCACATCTAAAAGAAACCTCGGACCCATTAGCAGTCATTTCACATAAGGGTAAGCATAAAACATGTGGTCCTTTATGTCTGGTTTCTTCCATAGCATAATGTTTTCAGGTTCTATCTGTGTTGTAACATGAATCCGTACTTCTTTTTGTTGCCAAATAATAGTCTATTGCATGGTCATACCACATTTTATTTAGCCATTCATTTAGTTGATGAACATTTGGGTTGTCCCCACTTTTTGGCTAAGGTGAATAATGCTACTATGAACATTTGTGTACTGGTTTTTGTGTGGACATGTTTTCTTTTCTCTTGGATATATGCCTAGGAATGGCATTGCTGGGTCATATGGTAATTCTACATTTAACTTTTTGAGAAACTGCTACACTGTTTTCCAAAGTAGCTGAACCATTCTACATAATTTCCCCACATCCTCGCCAACGTTTGTTATTGTCTGACTTTTTGAGTACAGCCATCATAGAGGGTATGAAGTGATATCTCATTGTAGTTTTTGATTTGCACTGAGATAACTTAAAAGCTTACAGATAAGCAAAAATAAAATAGGTAATCAAAACGCTATCAAGGGCAAGACTTAGAAGAAATAAACACTTTTATTATGGGTGTGGTCTGGTACAGATTTTTTGGAGGACAGTTTGATATATCAGAATGTGAAATGTACTTGACTTTTGACCAGATCTCCCGATTCTGAGTATTTGACCTACAGAGAAAAATTTTTCATTGGGGGAAAAAGAATGTGTCTTCATCGTACCACTGTTTATAATCGCATAACAAAACCTTAGAAGTTAACTTAAATGTCTATCAAAAGGAAACTGGTTAAATAAATTATGATACAAACATAAAATATTTAGGCAGTCATTAAAAATAATGATGCGAGCATAGTATATTTTTATTGTCATGAGATGCTATCCATTCCATACTAAGTGGGGCAAAATGAGATTATTCAATGCCTCCATAAGAAAATCCTACTTATGTAAAATATCTTTATGCCTAGAGAGATTTTCTTTTTTTGAAATGATGTCCAAAATGTTAAGTGATTAGATACAAGTAGTGGATTTTAGGTGATTTTTAAACTTTGTTCTTTGAACTTCTTGTATTTCATTTAGTTAAAAAATCAACCTCTGTAATTTTTGGGAGAAAATTGTAAAACTACTTTAAAAGACTATGCATTTTAGAAGTCACCTTTTTTGTACTTAATCAAGATGTGAATTTTAGTTAAATACCCTTCCCCTATCATTATTTTTTAAACCTCAAAACCATCTACTAAGGCATAAAGAAATTCATTATTGTGGTGACTATATTCACTTAGTGTAGAACACTGTCTTGGGCTCTCCCCTTAGAGAATTTTATTACATACTTTAGTGTTTATGGAGTTCTTTTTATGTGAGGGTATGCCAGATATTAGGACTTTGGGGTCATGCCAAGTTCATGATTAGGAGAAGGTCAAAAACGTTCTTCATCTGTTCTGGTTATTAGGATAATCGTTTGGGCTTTACATAGTCTCTCTTCCACTCTTCTCTCCTGCTTTGCAAGAGAATAGCATTAACAACACATAATTTTCTTTTTCTTTGAGCTTGTTGTAAGTTGGAAAGTCCTAAGTATGTTTCACATACTTCACTCATTTAATCCTCACAACAATCCTGTGAGGTCGGTACTACAGTTACGTTATTTTACAGACGAAAAGTCTGAGGCACAGAGGTTCAGTAACCCATCCAAGGTCACTCAGCTAGGGAATGCAGAGCTGGGGCAGGAGCTGAATGAGTCTGCTTCGTAAGTCCCTGCGATCTTAACTGCTACACTCCACTGCCTCCCTGACTTTCCTTGTAAATATGACTCCAGACACTTCTTGCTGGTTGCCTTTGTTTCTCCCCCGACAAGTCATTTCTACCAGGAATGAGCTAGTTCGGACACGTGACTGGACTTTCCTGCAGCACACGCTCTAGAGTCGTTCTTTGCTGTTCGTATGTTTATCCATTGATTCTCCTAGGATTTTACTTACCATTTCTTTGACATCATCTTCTCTGAAATCTTTGCCTTTCTTACTCCTTAAAGCTGGAGATGCATCTGGGAAAAGAAAATTAAGTCGCACTAGGTGTTTCAACTTTGCATCAGGGCCCATTAGAAGAGTGCTTGGTGCTAAGGCAGTGAACACACACTGCTCTCCCAGGACCGCGTGGCATTCTCCACCCCAGGCAGTGTGGATGCCTGGTGCCCTGCCTGATCCCGATCTTTGAGTCTGACCATGCGGGAAACATAATTTGTACGAGGGTATAGTTTATTCTGATTCTGTGAGTGATTCACTGTAAAAATTTAGAAAATACAAAAAGTGTAAAGAAAAACATTAAAAACACTTGTAATCTTACTACCGTACTATGATAACCACTAGAAACTCTCATTCCCAAGCATGTTTGTCTTCTCTTTAAGCAGTTCATATTCACTTATGACAACTATGTAAGTCTTCTAAATAAATGAGGTACAGATGATGATGTTAGAAAATGCCCCTTCGTGGAATTTAGTGGGTAGGATTATTGTTAAATTTAAAGATGAACTAAAATTGGTGAAATTTAAATTTCTCAATTTTATATTCCAGTTTGACTTTGTAATGAAAGAAAGGAAATAGTTATGCATATTTTAAAAAATTATGGAATCAAACAGAAAGCTATAATGACCTTAGTGGTTCTATCTGTGCTCCGGCAAGTGATTTTTTCATTTATTTTTGCTAATATGGGCTGCGTATACAGTAGGTCTTCAACTGATTCTTATGAATTGGCCAAAAAGAAGGTTCCTGTACTAGATTAAGATCTACCTAAAATACTGTTAAAACTTAATGTTTGATATTTGTCATGTTGGTTGTTATTGTTTTTGCTGTTTCATTGTGACTGAAATCTAGTATAAGGTTTTAGGATATTTTACTATTTTCCTGGGAAAAGAGTTATAATCAACAACCAGAGAAACTCATGTGATATGACACGTTACTGGTAACAATTATGTTGATTTAAGTTTGATTCAAGTTGAAATAGCTTGTCCTGTACATTATTTTGAAAAGCCATTTCTTAAGAAAATCACTATAGAGAGCAATTATAGAAAAAAAAATTCTATAATCAAAAAGTCTGTATCCTCTTGTGTTTTCCAGGCATCTGGCCAGCTGAAGAGGTGTTGGCTTACTACTGCCTCAAGCACAGTGATGTATTCAGGTACAAAGCTGCACTTAAAAATTTGTTCAGGCCGCTATGGGTATTGTATCTGCATATTAAAGACTGCCATGATTATATTCTTCAAATTAAATTGTTTAAAAAAATATAAGAAAGGAAGGAAGAAAGAAAGAAAAACGAAGAAAGGAAAGGGGAAAAAGGTCATGGTGAAAACATGTTGCTTCTGAAAAGGACATCTGAATTGCCTTTGGGTACTAATATTGCACAGCAAGCTTTTTGCTATATGTCAAAGGCTTTTGATTTCCACTCAAGACATTTTATTTCACTTTGATTTTGGGGAAACAAAAGTGAAGCTCCAATCAATCCTTACTGATTGCGAAGGTCAAAAACAAAAAACAAAAACGATAAAGACATTCTTTAAACTTCTGCTAGGAAAGTCACTACAGAATATTTGATAAGTAAATACCCCACAGCTATTATTTAAAGATGCCTTCCCACCCCTGATTGTAAAGGTATTTTATATACCTCACAAAATGTATTTGTAAATATAAATTACAATTACAGATTCCTGCTATAGAAATAAATGTTTTCAACTGTCAATGTGCACTATGGATTAAACCCATAGATGGGATTCAGGAAAAAGAAAACAAAAACTCCTTTTATTTAAAAATGCTAAAGATGTTTGGCAGACCCAGGAAATACAGGTTTTTTTTTCATTTTAATTCTCATTTTATAAAAGTCATCCAATACATGCTTCCTGAATAGCCCATTATGATTCCAGACAAGCTGATCATTTTAGCAATATGTACTTATAAGATTGGGTGTGTGTTTTAACAATATGTACTTACAGGACTGGGTCAATAATATGTAGTTTTTGAAGCTCTGTGGGTCCGTATTTACCAACCAGCCTGTAATTGCTTTGAACGCCTAGATACTCATTAAATGTATTTCGGAATATGAACGCCCTGGCTTGGCTTCTTCTCCTTCTCTTCCCTCTCTCCTCTCCCTTGATTCTCTCTCTCTCTCTCTTTTCTCCTGTTGAGGTAATAAACTTCCCAAACTGGGAAGAAGAAACAAGAAGAAACAATCTTAAGGGGCTAAGCATATAAGGGGAAGAACAGGGCAGTGCTGAATTGGGCTGCAGCGCTGCCCTTGAAGCCTGGCATTTCCTCCTCTCGCTGGGCTTCATCTTGCCTGGAGCTCCAATCAGGGAGCAGTGAGCCAGGGCAAGAATGTCACACGTTGAGGGCTGATATTTAGGTACAAAGGGGGAGGTACGTGCAGAGCGCCACCCCAGACTGTCAGCTTTAACTCTGAGCTGCTTTACTTCCGAGCGATGAAGTCAGAGCCCAGTCATTATTTAGCCTGGGTCTGCTGGCTCACCCATATTATGTCCCCGCATTGTTTATTCACTGTGTTGTGTTGGGGTTAATTGTGATTTAAGTGTTAATTGCTAAATGCACTTTGTGTAGTTGTTCTTTATGAGGGCAGTTCAGCTTTCCCAAATGTTTCAGTTTGTTTTAGAATTTTTTTTTAATTCAAGATTGCATGTATTTGTGTGTGTGTGTGTGTTGAGTGTATGTGACTATAAATATAGGTATATACACACTCACGTATATTCTTCATTTACTTGTCTAACTGTTTTTGAAAGAATGAATGTGGATTAACAGTGTTATCCTTCCCTAACAATTATCTTTCGCTACTCTAGCTAGTTTAGTTCTAAAAGACAGCGCCATTGACAAGGGAAAAAAGGGAACCTTCTCAGATTTTTCAGCTCAGCGGTGGTAATGTTGCAGTGAACACTAATGAGGGAACCCCCACTGATTCGCCTGCTTTGTGACTTTTCTATTTCATAATTATTTTTAAAACGCAAAACGACATGAGGTAGCCTAGTCTTGTCTCCACAACTTCCTGGTAGCGCCGTTCTTACTGCAGATGGCAATTTGTTCTTGTAACATATATATCTCTCTGACCATTTTCATCTAATTTGTATGGGTTCTACCATTTCTTTTCTCTCTTTCAGGGACCTTGCTGTGTGTGAGCTAGGGGGTGGCATGACATGCTTGGCTGGGCTCATGGTAGGTCTTTTCTCAATTCCAATCCCATTCAGAGGGAGGAACAAAAGGAAAAATGTTCCAGGGCCTCCAACTGCTGGGTCAGAGAACCGTCAACAGCATCAGCTGCGGTCAAGCTGCCGGGTCTTGAGAGACCTTCTAGATTGACTTACTTTCGGATCATATTGATTTTATGGTTGCCTCGATGAGCAGAAACATTTTACCTCAGTGTAGTCAATATCGCTTGTTGTGACATTCCAGGCCTCGCACGGTCTTTCTTCGCCATAGCAAAAGCATTTTTTTTTTTCAGATTAGAGTCCCATTTGCTAAGATATGGGAATAGCCCGGCGAATCACAGTTGGAGCACCATGATATAGCTGCTAATGTTTTGCCTGCATTATTACACCAACAAACATGATCCAGAGCGCTCAGTAATTAGATTCTTTTGAATGAGATTGGCCATTCAGGAACGTCGTTCCCCATTCTCTGGGTTCTGAGTCATGTATTCAGGAGATATTATGTAGCAGCACAGTGCATTAGACAAGTTTTTATGTCTCTACAAATAAAAGCATATTGTTACACTGATTGGCATTTGACAAACCTGTCGCTCTTACACAATGTGTCAGGGTTACAGCCCAATGTGCGAGCATGTCAAAGCTCACAAAAAAATTACCCTCACAAAGCCATCTGCCTGCAATGCAAAGTTATATGAAGGGCATCAGGCAGTCAGACAGAAGCAAGCTGAAAGGCAGAGTGACAGCCATGTATGATGGCTCTCCTAGATAAACAGAAGCCCACAAATGAAAGCCTCTCAGAATACCATCATCCGCTGTCACAATGCAATTACCGAACAGAATGATAGCAAGATAGAGGCTCCCGCAAATGGAATGATAAAAGTATTGACTGATTTGATTGAATGATTAAAATAATGCAGACATAAAATGAAAAAAGATTGAAGATTGTTACAGAGAAATAGGTGAGGAAGCATGATACTGAAGGCTTGTCACTCCTGTCTTCACTTCTACACAGACAAGCATATTTGCTCATTGTTTGCTGTGCTCCCTCTTTTTTTTTTTTTTTTTTTTCAGGTTGCTATTTCTGCAGATGTCAAAGAAGTTCTGTTAACTGATGGGAATGAAAAGGCCATCAGAAGTATCCTTATTCAGATAGAAAACCGGTTTGTTGTGCTCATTCCTTTTCCCCGGCTGAGTAACAATTGATATAAAGAAAGACAGCATGGGGTGTTAAAAGAGAGTTCCCCGCACCTCCCCCCAACACACACGATAAGTAATTAAGAAAAAGTAGAAATATATGGAATTCATGGGATACGACTAAGTGTCTTTCTTTTAAATTTCGATGGGTTTTTATAGTCACTTCTTATTAAAGGAGCCTATGATTTGTGGACTGCTTAAGGCAATAAGAACAGTTGTTTTCATAATAATTTTCAAGCCTTCTTGTCCTTTTATTTTCATTGAAATTTGCCAGTATAAAAGAAATGATTTAACATTTATTATATGGGATATTGCTTGCAAAAATTAACTTCCAGCTTCACGTTCATTATTACCTTTCTTCTGTTTGATATTGTACGTGTGGACCATTTAATATTGTACCTACTGTAATTCCTGAGGAGTTCCCTACATCTCCCCACTGGAAACAGCTATCAGTTTTTCATTATTTCCTCTTATCTGGGATTATAAAAGCTCTTTTTTTTTCTGCTATGCTATTACCATTCAAACCCCATTATATCAGATTATGCTTTACTAATATGTACACAGAGTTCAGGAAAATTGAACTGTACTTTAACTAAGAAAGCAAGCATAATTTGTGGCTACTTTAGCCATCGAGCTGATTTGTTCAGGGGCAGTTAACAGCCGTTAGAAATTGAGAGAAGAAGTGGAGGATCTATTTGCTTTGGGTTTTTTGGATTTTTCATCTGCACTATGAAAGAGGCAATCTACGTGTCTGCATTTTAGACCCTCAAAATGCCAAAGCAGTTTTGATTTTTGTGAAGATGTAAGCATCTTCTGTAAAGCTTATTTTCCATTTTCTTTTTCTACCTCTGCTCTATAATTTTTTGAGAGAAAAATTTGCAGCAGCTCTATCAGGCTGCTCACCCAGGAGAAAGGAGGTACAAGAGGCACAGTAGCTAATATTGTTCGGCAGCACTCCTGTGTTCTCCAGAGCCCCACCCAGCTAATTGCCTGACAGACTTTAAAAAAAAAAAAAAAATTCAGGAAGGAAAAACAGCCAATCACAATCGTGGCCTTTCACACAAGGGAAAGAGATCACAAAAGGTGCTTCCTTTTTTAAAATGCAGGATTTTAATCATGATCTTCAGACTGTCGCAAGTTTCTCAAAATATTCCTGAGGATGAGCTGATGTTTCATTCATTCTGCTTTATTCTGAGTGCTTCCGTGCACTGTATCATTTCACTCCGCTCCTCCTCCACATGTCAGGGAACACAGAGAGCAACAGGAAGTCAGGTATGCTGGCTCAGCCCCAGTGGATTTTTTTTTTAGCGGGGGCGGGAAACAGGATTACTGGGAAAGAGAAGGTCATTTTAGCCACAGAAACTTTCAGATTAGGCCCAGCAACCTGAGGTTTTTCTCAAGTCAGCAGGTGTCTTATTTAATAGCATCAGAAACCAATTAGAACTTTTATAAAACTCTGGGAAGCATCTGGGGTCAGTATGTAAATTTAATTGTACTAAAATGATTATTGAGCTAAACTACAGAGCTTCCAACAAAGGGAAGCAATGCTAATGTCATTAATTAATGCACCTTTGCTTTAAAACAGCAAAGATGCCACGCCAGCCCTCGAAATCAGAGAGGAAACCTCAGCTTCTGTATTCACTCTGCCGGCCTTTCAAAGAAATGATTGGTACAGCCCCCTCCCAAGAAAATGGATTTTTAACATTTGGTCCTCAGAAGCTCAGCCCTGAGAGTGCTTTATTGTGCTGGGTTTTACAATGGGTTTAATATAGCGGGGTGCCAAAGGGCAGGAGGGGAAGAACTTTACAATGTAGATAAAGTAGGTCCTTTCAGGATGCAGACCAAAACTGGTAGAGTTTTTTATTTCATCTTTTAGGATTTGCCTGACAGAGTTCAGTTGTTACCATGCACTTGTTCTGTGTCGGTGTGCCTTTTTCTGTTGTAACTAGGTCTAATGTTTTTAATTAAGAGGCAAAAAGCACGCATAAAGCCTTAAAAATTGGCAGTGTGTTTTTCCCGCTTTAAATACAAATGTTATTCTTGATTTGCTCACAGACCTTACAACTGGCATTCATTGTCAGCTGTTTTACTGAGTGAGGTTAATATGAATGAAAAAATTTTTTTTCTATTTGTGTGCCCACTTTCTGTAAGCATAACTAATTCGCTGAATCACATACTGTTGATGCATATAGACTGGAACAAACTCATTGAAAAATTACTGTTTACATCTTTCCTTTAAAATTTTAGGAAGCCTAAATTATATAGCAGTTGTAGGATATTATCCAAGAATTACTTTCTAAAAAGTAAAAGTGGATGTCAACAAAAAAAGAGGGAGAAATATTGCCAGAAGCCAGAAAATCTCTAAGCAAAGCTGCTAATTATTCTTAATGGGCAAGATGAGCACATTAAGAAACAAATGAATACATCAGTGAAATGTAATTGAAAATCGACCTGGCAATCACACATCGCATCTGAGTATTGGCCTGTATATTATTCTCATCATTTAAAAAATTATTTCTGTTGCTCTTGGCATCTGAATTTAATGAATCCACTGAGTCTTACTTCCTAGTCTCTTAAGCTTTAAAAAATATAGCGTTTTCTAAAATTTCCTTTTTATCTTCTCATTTCTATTTTTGGAATATATGAGGCAATGAATGGATACATTCTACATCTTTATATCATAGAAACATATCAACCAGTTGTAAGGTTATTTATTGTCTCCTTGAATGTATCAGATAGATTTGGCTATGTCATAAACGTAGAAAGCTAAATGTGGATTGGAGATTTATTCAACAGAGATATTTGAAAAGAGATTAAGACTTGAGGTATAAGGGAATGTTGTAAATCCTAAATATTTTCTCAGACTCATGGGTAGATGTTCCTGAGGTTCTCCTTGGTCCTTTTACTGCACCACTGAGTCTAACCCCAAACCCCGCTACCTGGGAGCTGCCTCTCCCTACAGATGGTGTTTTATCCACATCCAAAGGGAACAAAGGATAAATTGGAAATGAGGTCATTTAGTTTATCCAGTTCTTGAATTTATCCTAAAACATGTTCCTTTTTCTTTGGCATGGTCCTTTTAGTGTAATAAAGAAAGAAATCTCCAAGTGCCCACAGATAATAATTACTCAATAAACTCTGTAGCTGGTGTTGACAATGGCATAAGAATAAGGGAGAGAGATGGTATACTGAGTTGTTATTGATGCAAAGCCTCTTCCCAATTATAATGAATAAAAGTACAACACCTCTCTGTACACTCACTAATTCCCCCAGCACAATGACCCTGCCTTTACCCATCCTTAGTAAACACCAAGTAGTTATCTGCAGAATAGGGCAATGCTTGGCGACCCATTCTCCTGCTCCTGACCCAAGCATCTTATCCCCACAGTATACACACTCTGGATTATGATCTTGAGCTTAGGATTCTCCAAAAACTGGTACATCGCCTGTGCATTTCAAAGGAAATACCCCTGGCTTAACATTAGTTTATTTAACAGAATTTCTGAAAAAATTAATTAACAGAATTAATAAATTAAGCTTCATGTGGGCTGTGCAGCCAGCCTCTGCTATGGATGGTTGAGACCTTGGAGATGCCAGGCCATCGTCCTGTGTCCAGGCCCCTGCCTTCAATATCATGTTAGCTGTTCATCTATTTGCTAGATACAGCCAAAATGCACTCTGTGTGCCTCACATTGGGTAGGACCTCAACAAACAGCTCTGAAAATTTAACTTAAGTTAACTAATAAATTAAGCTAATTAATTGATGTAAATGAATGAAACCACTATTAAATGCTCACCATTTCAGGTGTTATAGATACAGCAGTGGACAAGACAGACCAAGTCCCTATTCTGAGAGGACACAGACTGTACCTTGATGAGAGCACATTTATACATGTGAAAGACACTGAAAATCTACAGGGCAGAAGTTCTTTGGTTCTTTCCAGTTATTTAGATTCTGCAGTAAAAATGTTCATGTAATTAGCTTTGAGCAACAGGGAAAGAAAATGAAGTTTAACTGCCAAACCTCACTTTAGTTACTCTCACTAGCCTCTCATCCCTCCAGAGCTTTTGCCTGAATTATTGAAAAAGATAATGAATTGCCTTGATTTAGGCACCTGCTATGTGTCAGGCTTATCCTATGAGGTACCCCATTAAGCCTAAAAAATAGGCACATTATTCCTATTCTTGAGTTGGAGCTCAGAGAAGTTAATTCATCCAAATTCACACAGTCACTAAGTATCAGAACTAGCACAGGAAGCCAAGTTCATCTGATTTCATAGCTGGCCTCCCACCCCCATTAAACAATTCTCTTTCACCAAAAACTAGAATGATTTGATGAGTGTGATCTTGCACTGGAGGGAAAGGCTTCTCGTCCATAAATGTAACAGTTGACGTTGCTAATAGAGTTCACAGCACCTCTGGGTCATACTCTCAATTCATATGAGTAATAAGCACAAAATTTAAGAATATTTTGCAGACTTTAAATTAGCAAGTATTGTCCCATCAGGCATTTTAAAAACCCTTTAGAGATCAAAATGAGCAAGACTTATTTGATAATTTTATAGCTTTCTACCCTCACCATTGATGGGCCAATGAAAATAAAGGTAGTATAAACCAAAAGAGCAATGCTGTGTGAATCACAATGTTACCGTAAAAATCCTTTTCTTGCTTAATGAACAGTGGCAACTCTCGAAATGTATATGCAGCAACTGATAAACATAACAGTCACTAATTGCAGGAGCCAGCTAATATTTTAAACAAGATTTATGTATAATTAGCTTAATAATATTTATATATATAACTTACATGTATAATTTGTTTAACTATTGTTATACAGATATATATTTTTTAAGGATAAAAATCAATGGAAACTAAATTCAGATGGAGCCCCATTCTTGAACTATGCTTTTTCTGAGGAGAAAATCTGGTTGTAGAAGCCTGGTTTCTTTTAGCCACAAGCATATATCCCATAGCTCTGGAAGTCCAGTTGCCCAGACCAGGAGATTGAAGGTGATTGCTCTGTATCTATTTAATCAGAAATCACATTAAGGCTTTCTTTGCACCCAGCACCTCCCACTGAAGCCTTCTAGAAGGTGGGTGCATTCGGAGAATAGGATTTGGTCCATCCAGTTGAACACTATCCTGGACATATTGACTCGATTTGATTGAATTTCCTTTATTACCCTGACGTGACACAGAATGATAAAATCTGTTATTGGACACAGTGCCAACCAGTCAAAGCACCTCAGAATCTGACCTAAAGTAAAGGGTGGGGAGCAGAACATCAGAATCTATCTCTTAAGGTAATACACTATTGCCATTTTTTCTCTTTGTACTTACTATGAAAAACACCTCCTGAACTACAAAATGTATTTCCTTCCTGGTTCGAAAAATAAAGCAGCCTAAATACTACTGTGAATTTTTTTCATTAAAAAATATTGCTTCTAGAATATAAATAAATATGCTTGCTTCAGCCTGACCACCTGGAGTCACAAGTTTATAAATTGTATAAAAGTATATAGTGTTAAGATGTTTACCAAAAATTATTAATAGGTTTTCTGAGTTATATAATTTAACTTCCCTGTGACTATTTCATCAAAAGTATTACCTCCACTAACAAAATAACATGTTTTGCTTGATAGATTAGTCATGTACTCGTACAACGCTACAGGTGTACCGGGCACATTATGGCGGACGGTTGGATGTCATGGAAACGCCGAGTAGGGTGTGGCCAGAGTGTGGGGGAGTTTAATCAAAACCAATTGTCAGTTGACTCTTTCCTAATTTTGTTCTTCTCAGAATAAAGATGTCAGCTGTCCTTTTCTGCAAGACATTTCATTTAGAAGACTTTCCCGAAATACTTTTCTTCCTGAAATAGACAAAACTGTAGGCCGATGTGTCATTTTAGTTAATCAAAACAAGGAGGCAAATTAGTCTCTTTTATTTTTTTAATGAATGTAATTTAACGGTATTTAATTTGCATACAGGAGAGTTCACCCAGGAAAAAAAAAAAGTCTGCATTGTAGCACTTTTGTAAACCTCAACAAAGCCCTTCATTAGGAGACCTAATTGATTTTTCCTACCCACTCCTGGGGGAAGAAAGCTATCACAGTACCTGCTTATTCACTCAGCGAAGAAATGGGTGTGCCTGGTGTTTCAAGCAGAGATTTGGGTTAAAAAGTCCTGTGGCTCTGTTCTTGCAGGGGGATCTTGGCCAATGCTTGCTTCAAGCGTTCAAGAAATCTGTTTTTCTGAGCAATGGGGGAACATCACTTGTCTGCTTGGTGTCCTCCCCATGGGCCCAATTTAGTTCAGCTTGCAACCTTCACTGGAATTATTTTATTTCTTGTTTATTTAAACCTTTCCTTATTCCAAAAGAGGGATTTTTGAGGCTTCTTACAGTGACACATAGAATATACTATATAAAATAAATGAGAAAGTGAGGGCAGTTGTACAGTAGAAAGCCAGGAAAACCTCCTGAAGCCAGGAGTAGGATCAGTACAGAAAAGATATGTCAGAGGAGCCCTGCGGTTGTTCAGCTTGGGTCACACATTTGGCTCTGAGTTGCACAGGGATCAGAGCAAAAAGAGAAAGAGGAGCAGTTTTAAGATATATAGTGTTTGGAAGTTGAAGCAAAACTAGTTGATCTGGCTTTCCCTGGTGCTGAAACCTGACATGATTTTTCCCATCAGTCCTCATAAACATGGCGCTGTGTGGTGCAGCGGACCAACTCCTCAATCAAAACATCGCTTCGGTAAACATGGCTCTTTCTATACAAGTCCTTACAGGCCAGCAGATGGCCAAAGGCCATGCCCTAAGTCTGTAGAGATAGTTCTTCAAGGGGCCTTTCCCTGGATTGACTTTCTTCTTTAGTAATTAGTTTTCTCTCAAAGATTCTCCAAGCTTTTCTTCATCTTTCTCTTCTCACTTCCCCCAAGTCTTTCCCTGCTGCTCATCCTCAATCTCCCTACTAGCATTTAGGAGATTTGACATACTTCAACTTGGAGGGTCTCAGGAGATTACCATTGCCCTCCACATGGACTGAGAGAGGCTCACCTTTGGGTCCCTAACTCTTTTAAGCAAATGGGGCCTGGCACCCAGGGAACAGTCATCTCCCCCGACCAGTGCCCAGATCCCTGGGCCTTGCCAACATGCTCCCTGAGTGTACCTTTCACGTGTGACAAAACTGCAGTCCAGAAATTAAAAGCGCTTACTTGTGGCTAGTAATTCAACATTTGGTGGCAGAGCCAGGGCTAGACCCTTCTCCTCCTGCCTCTCACCCTATAGCTCTTTTCACCATGCTGACCCCGAGTATGATAAGAAAATCATAGTGTTCGTGGGCCTTTTTTTTTTTTTTTGGTGGGGGGAGTCAGTTGACAGTCACTGCGGAAGCTTTCTTAACTGTGTCCTATAGATGTGAGAGACATCATCGCAAGGAATCAGAAGACTGGTGTGTTTAAGACTGGAAACATATCAAGCTGGTAAGATACCTTTCTGCATTAAAACACTCTGGTTGTGTGGGGAGGAAAATAGCTCAGTGGTAGAGCACATGCTTACCATGCATGAGGTCCTGCGTTCAATCCCCACTTCCTCCATTAAAAAATAGGTGAATTTTTCCTTTTTTTAAACAAAAAAACTTTTTTAAAAAAACCACTCTGGTTGAAACTGTATTTCTCAGTACTATGGATAATTATTAAAACTAATAACAGCTTTAATTTATTAAACACTTACTGTGGGTCAGGCACTGTTTTAAGCACTTTTAAAGTATCTTATTTAATGCTCACAAGAACCCATCATGAAGCAGGCAGGCGTTTTCATGATCTACAATTAATAGTTGAGAAAAACTAATAGATGTTAAACACTGGTTTGGGAATGATTTAAGGATTGAGAGGGTACGGTATGAGGTTGGGAGGAGCCCAGCCTGGGACCTTCTTATGAATGGCTCTGTTCCACTGGTTCCCAACCCCAGGGAGACGGGATGCCCCAGGTGCCCCAGGGACCTTTTTTATTGCCATAACTAGGGCAAGGCGGTTGCTACTGGCATCCAGTGGATGGAGGCCAGGGATGCTAAGAGGCTTCCTGCAGTGCACAGGACAGCCCCTTCTCCCACAACAAAAAAAACTGTCTGGCCCAAAATGTCAATAGTGCCAAGACTGAGAAACCCTGCTCTGTTTCATGATTTTTAAAGTCTAGATGTTCATTCCCTTTTAGATTCTCTTAGTTCTTGTCCAAGTTGGAGAATGCTTATCCTCAACCAAAACGATGGTGTTTTCTGTGAGGCCACATTTTATTTTTGCCCTCTTGGTATGGACCCAAAGGAATGAGTAATCTTTTAGTGGTTTTCACATGAAATATCTGCATTTGTGCATTTTTCCTGTATATTTTTAACTACAGATTTTCTTGGAAGAACAATCTAAGTTTTAATTAATTATTTAGTTTATTACTATTTATCTGTCATCCTTTGACATTTTGAGTTTTCTGTTTGAGGATGCTCAAAAGAAAAGGTGGATGAACAGCAACAATGCTTAAAGACAAAAGTGGTCAATATATTGGGACAAGGATATGGAGTAGCAATATTTTTTTTTCTCTTATGTTAGCTGATGAATGTAATGAAGTGTCCATAAATGTATTTTTCAACCCTGCATTAGGATGTTCAGAGTAGGCTGATGGCACAGGGGCCAGTATGCTCTGTGTTTCTCAAATAAATAAGCAGACTGGTCCTGTCTCCCAGAAAGCCTCCAGCAGGTTGGGAGGAAGAACAATCTGTTACCTGTGTATTCCTCACTCGTAGGACAGCGTTTACGCCGTAGTGCAGACTGCCATAGCCTTCTGTGGAGGACTTCATTTGGGGATGTGATTTCCAACCTGGTCTTTTAGTTATCAATCAAAAGCACATTTTCTATGTTGTCCTCATTTACATTTATTTAATGCTTAAGGTCATTTGTGACCATTTGAGTGTATTTCAGCATATGGAATCAGGGAATAATAGATTTCAGCTTCATGCTGTGAAGAGAGATTGTGTTTTTACAACACATAATGTTGTTTACTGTGTGTTAATAATCACTAATTAATAAACATACCTAGAATTCTAAAATGTTGCATTTTGAGGAATAAAGATGTCAAGCGTTTAACTTACAGAGTGCAATAGTATTTCCTACCATCTTTTCATAAAATGATGAAGTTACATAAAGAGGCAAGGTGTCATTGTTCAACATAGGAAATATCCAAAATGTCTTTGTTTCTATTTGTTGTTCTCAAAAATGCTATTTCTAAGTATATTGTTCTGAGATGTACCTGGATGTATAGTCTATGTCATTTGTCCTACAGGGACCTCCAAAATGAGGGGTATTTTTCTGTCTTTATCTCATATTGACTGTGGTCAGTTTCTACTCTTTTAACCACTGTGAGCATTTTGTCCAAAGTCAGCTAAAGCACTTTGCCAGAATAACAGGTGGATGTGTCAGTCCTTGAAATGCCTTGATTTCATATTAGGAGCTACTTGACCACTGAACCTTCAAGAAGCTAAGGAAACTGCCAACCCGTGATGTAATAATCAGCAGTCCCATTCTATCCACTGCCTTCCCACCCATAAACACTGCAATGTGATGAAAGTATTAGCTCCACGTGAGAAGAAATAAAAGGAAACCATTCACAAAAGAGCTAAGATATAGTTCAATATTCTTTTTTAGTGCCTCAGTACATATGCAGAATTTCTCCTCCAAATTGGAGGTGTGGAGTAACAGTAGCGACAGATAACTGAGAGGTATTTACCATAGCTACAAAGCCCACACGTGAGCCAAATATTTCTGCTATTAAAAAGCACTTCAAAGCTTGACATGAAGTTTGTAACAGCTGAATGTCTCCTGTGGCTTCATTTGCAAAGAAGATGTAAAAGCAGAAAGGAAAATCGTGATATGAGAACTGTGAGCCTAGGAAATGGTGTTTTTAAAAAGGCACCCAGAAGTTTGATTTCCCTCCCCGGCTCCTGTTCCCCCTGCTCTGCCAACGTTCCTAGTAACCAGCACTCCTCCTGCTACCAGCCTCTTCTACAGGCAAAACCCAGGTTGTTGAGGGTCCTCTGTAGGATGAATTCAAGTATACCTTACTTAGGCAAATTCCACAGAAGTGTACAACCACGTGAACCCGTTACTGGGGCTCCTCGTGGGTCCTGTGCAAGGGAGAAGCCCCCAAGGCTTAGACTGCATTAGCTTGACAGTTAATCCACCCCTGCTCTCATCACCACCATCAGCCTTGCCTAGAATAATGCTCCTCCCTTACAAGCTTTCTTACTCCTCCTGTTCCATGTTAATCCGAGTCTGATTGTTGCTAAATATGAAAGATGTGTTTGCAAAATCCTGGAAGCTTTAGCCCTAGCTAGGAAGAATCTAGGCTGCACATAAATGAAGCAGATAGCCCTTACATCTCAAAGATCTGAATACAGTTATTTGATGGGCCATTCATTGGTCCACTCATGCAACCATCTATTCATTTAACTAATTTAGTCCAAGGTACTCTGCCTTTGAGAACTTAAATATAAAGTTGTAGAGAATAACTCTTGAACAGAGAAAATCATGCTACTAAATATAGCTAGAGATTGGTGAAAGAGCAAGGATATTTACAGCTTCTCAATTGTTAGGTTTATCTGAAGCTGTCTTCAAAGCTGTGACTGTCTAATAAAGAACTATTCGGAGCTTTTGATGTCTGCATATTTCTAGGTGTTCCAGATTGGTGAATGGCGTCATTCTCTGCTTAATAGTAGTTAATACTTACAATATTTTTTAAATCGATTAAATATACCCTGCTGTGATATTAAAAGGAAGTTTCTACCTAAGAAAAGAATTTATCTTTACATGAAAATTGCTGGTGAATTTAGACCTGTGACTTTTTTTTTATCATTCTTTGATAAACCATTAATTTTAGTATTGGACTCATATTAACTTTTAAGACTTTTTTTGTAACCCAAATTTTACCTTTATGTGGGCCCCCAGGATTGGCTATTGCCTCCATTGCCCTACTGCTTTTTAAGATTTATGTCTTCTTAGAGGCTTATTTTCCTCTTGAGATTAAATTGGGGACATGAAAAATGATTTTAAAATGTAAATCCCAACCAAGTGGGATCCAGACCTTCTGCAGTCTGCCCTCACTTTCCTCCCCGTCTTCATCCAGTGTGGCTCCCACCGTTTCCCAACAGACACCCTTCCCTTGGGTCACCCGAGCCTCTTTGCTTTCCTCCAGCACATCTGGTCTTAACCATCTCTGGTCTTTGCCAGCCTTGTTCCCCTCTTTCTTATCCTTCTAAATCCTTTCCTCTAGGATGGCTTAATTACCATTTCCTCCTGCCTTCTCAGACTACATCAGCTTGCCCTAGTCTTTTCCTTCTCTTAACTTCCACTGGCCCTAGAATAGTCCCACAGAAAACATGGCGTATTCTTGTCTGGTTCAGAGTGTGTTGTCTGTTTCAGCTACATTGGTTCATTCATTTCTTGGTAAATATTTGGATCACCTTCTGTCTGCCAAGTACTGTTCTGGGTTGCTGAGATGTAGTGATGATGGAGAAGACGGAGGCCTTCTTGGAGTTCATATTCTAGCAAGGGAGACAGATAATTTTCTCGAAGATAAGGACTCTGCTTAATATATTTTTCTGTTCCTTGAAGCAATTAGTATACTTTATCCTTCGTATTTGAAAGGTTTTAAGATTTCTATTTGGAGCACATTTTGAAAGACGTGATAAATGACGTGATAAATGAAAGACAGGATAAGAAGTGAATCCATCCATAAGGCTTAAGGAACCAAACAATTTTTAGTAGAAGAAAATCAAGCTCTGGAGATTCAGACATCAGTTTGTGTATCAGATAGCCGACTTTCATTTCAGGATAGGCTTCTTCTCAGGCACGCACATGCAGTGTCTGTAGACAAACTGACATTGTGAGTAGGCATTTATCTGTCCTTTGTCAGGTTGAAGAGGAAGGTTAGAAGAAGGTAACTGCGATAAGGAAGCTGAAGGCTCTCTTTAAGAAGTTTTCCAATAAAATATACCTGTTACTGAGTTTTGCTAGAATTATGGTAACAGAATCTCAAGAACTGCTGAGAATTCTAGAGATGCCACAGTCCTGTTTCCTTCTGTTGCCATCTTGGGTGTAGGAAAATGAAGTTACTGAGTGTACTTTGTATTATTAAAATCTTTTACTTGCTTGACACTTTTATAGAAGGGCTCATGTCCCTACTCTTTAGTGTTTTGCACTGAACAAATAAGCTCTCACAGAACAAATGTTATCCAGTTTCAGATATTTTGGTAGAGTTCTCCTTTTGTATTTAAATGAGCCAGATTTTAAAATTTGGGGGCATGGTATTTTTAGGGGTTCTCTTAAGCTTCAGCACATTAAAAATTAATAAAATATTCTAAAAATCATGTTGATATTTGTATTATAGTGGCATTTTCATTGTGACTGAAAAATATATATAAATCAACTTAATTTTGACT